GGATGGATGGATGGATGGATGGATGGATGGATGGATGGATGGATGGATGGATGGATGGATCATACAAAGTGCTCCAACTCTTCCATCATAAATAATATTGAGTGACATGTTCTGACAATGAAAACTTCTTGGATTCATGCTGTAGTTAATGTACAATCAGTGTTTAAACATAACTTAAAACCTAAAAACACTGATGGTGTCATCATGTTGACACTGGTGCAGTGCACAAACCAAATGGAATAATGAAGTATAATCACTGTTGTTTTACTTTGCTGATTACTTCTAAAGTAACAACTAGATGGTTGAAATGGATGTTTCCAACATTGGTAAAAACACAAAGCAGTTTCTGATTGAATAAAGCAGAATAATGTTCTAAAATAGATTCTCCCAAAGAACTGAACCCTGTTAACATGGTGTATTTGTGCATGTTTAAAGGCCAAACGGCTGTTTCACAAAAGCAGGTTTGAGAAATCCAGGATAAGAGATCAATCTAGGCTTGACATAACTGGATCAGTTCATCCTTGCTTCATTTGTTTCACAAAGGTCAAACCAGGCTGGTAAATGCTCATCCACAGATTTCTTCAAAAGATCATGAGATCAATCAGTGATTCACTGRTTCTACACTGGAGAAACTGAGTGCTCCATGATTCTCACCAAATGAACATCTTGTGATGGAGGTTTATGAGCTGTAGGAGACTAAAATCCCTATTAAATTTAAAAAGGTTAAAAAAGGAAATACTGGTATGAATAAAGCTAAAACAATATTTGTGTGTTAAATAATAATTTTTGAATGGATATTTGATAATATGACATGCTATTTATGCATATTTGATTGACTTCATTATGTGAATTTAACTTGCTTAATGGCAAGGAGGAAGTGGAGTCAGATAGTTTATTTACCTCTTTATTTCTCTCTCTCATTTTCTTATTTAAAGTTATGTTGTTCTTTTATTTAAGTTTGGATTTTGTAGATGTATATTTTGTATTTTTGTGTTTTGTTTTTGAAATAAACAGTTGAAACTTGAACACTGTGCTACCAATGAGATTGTTCAGCTAGAAACAGATGAAAAKGGGTTTTTAAGAGCATCAATGGAAACTGATATTCAGAAACTTACATAAGGAAATGAGGCACATCACACACTGCTGCTGTTATAAAGGAGCAACAAAGGGCAAACAATAGTGGATCACCTGAATGCCTGAAATWAACATTTTCTAACCCCTACAGAAAACACTGTATTCACATCATTCAAGGATTTATCATTTGCTCAAAATGAACAGTGGAAGTTGATRATGTAATGAGTGGATTCATTTATGTTAATCTTTGTCCCCCCACATATTTMAGTAGTATGAACATGACTGGACCAGAGGACTTRGCAACAGGTCAAGATTAAGAACATTTTGCAGACAGTATCTGAGAAGAATGTTGACTAAAATGTACAAATGACTTAGAAGGTGCTGCTTATGTATTTCCTCCRTTTTTATTTGAACATTTACAAAAATGCTCATGTGTCTGGCACAGGGGGGGTGCTCCACCAGAAGAGTTTGCCCTTACAAATAAAGGGAAGCCTGCTGTTTTGTTTTGTTTTTTGAATGTGTCCCACCCATAGAAACTGCCCCTTCATACATTGTACATTTCACTGCTGAACATGCAACATRATCACACATTTCTGTAGTATGATATGGACCACTCAGTGCAGTGCTGCAGCYTGCACAGGTAGAGGATACCATCAGCAGAAAGTTAGAAAAGRCCAACGGGTCGGGCCTGTCCTGRAACTCRTTCCTGTCTGAAAGCCCTTCTCAATATAAACGTTAGAGTTTAGAGGTCATCATTCTCTTTGAAGCTATTTCTGTATTAGCATGTTAAACCTGTTTTTTGTTGCTTTGTGTTCTTGCAAAGACAAGCAGGCTGTGCATGGAAGGGAAGCGAGTCGTATGTTTCAGAAACATTCTATCATTCTYACATCGCCGTTTCACTTGCGCAAGATGTTTTCAGTTTTGCGTGCAAATTGCTTGTTTTCCACTCACGAGAGTGATCGGCCGAGAGTGGAAAACTCCAGACTGCCCCTGCAGTTAAAACTTGTTCTGTAACTTGTTATTCTTGATACCACTCCCTGCTTGCTGACAATAAAAAGACAAGGATTTGCACACAGGACCTCAGAACTCGTGAAAACTGGCAGAAACRGCTCAGTGCYTATCAGAAAACKCATACCTTTGTCTCTGGTTCTCTTTATTTAAGGTTTTATCATCTGATTAACCCTTTCAATAAATGCTTCATCATCAACAATATCGTTCAAAAATGGCCATGCCATCATAAAGCCTGACACATTTTTGAAGCTACTTACAGGCTTGACTTTATTRACAACACCTTTACTTCTTTATCAGTCATTTCTTAAATCCCCTCAACACGTGTGATAACTCTATTAAAGGCCTTTCTGTCAAACTTAGAGTATTCAGAAACACAATCAAATCTTAACAATGCCCACATGGAGAGTTTTAACTTTTAAAATAACCATGTCAAAATAAATCAGTGGTATTTTATTGCAGGTTGAGAAGAAAAAAAAAGGTTTCTGATGGGCGTGACCATTGACAGGACATTTAAGGTTTAACTAAGCCTGTTAGCCTGGTCTGGAGCAGGCTAGCTGCACAGATTAAATCAACATGGTAATTAATGCGCTACTGCTTTTGTGAAACCAAACTGAGGCTTAACTCAGCCAGGATATCTGAAAAATCTCATCTTCATCCTCTATCCTGGTTTCTGTGAAACAAACCTCGGGTTAATTCTCAGTTGTCAAGAAGTCGTCAAAAACCCAACATGAATGATCTGCTTCTCACGTGGTTTTCCACTGAAATTAAAACAAAATGAACATTTTTTAATGCATCTGAAAGCTGTTTATATGAAAAACTACATCATCTTTAACAGTCGTAATACATTTCTGTGTAAGGATTCTAATATTAATTTGGAAAATCAAACTGACTCATTATAAATTTAATGTATAGTTCTTTATCTAAACACCAAGTTTAAGAAATCCARTTTTAGACTCTTAAAAGGCATCAGAGATTTGGAGTTTCTTCAAACAAGAATTATCTCCATCTTACAGCAATGCTATTTCAATCTCATCTTAAATGTTGAAGAAAAGTCTAATATACTTTGTTCTTGTTTCTTGAAGACATTTCAAGCTTTTTGGGTTTGATAAGAGTAGTTAAGAGTAACAGAGCTTTTTAATCATTGTCGTCAATCATGAGGTTTTATCAACAAAACCATTAGGTTTAGTGTTTCAGTCACACTTTAAGGAAATAAGTCTGAAACTTTGGAGAGAAGTAACAATGCAGAATTGTTGTTTATAATCAACTTCCTTCACTCCCCGTTGAAACCATCTCTTCTCTGTCTGAAATAGTTTTGACCTGTTGGTTTTTAATTACCTAAAGGTTTATAAAAGTCAGTTTTTTCGTCCGTCCGTTTTCTTTTGCTTATCCGGGGTYGGGTTGCGAGGGGCAGCAGAGAAACCCAGACTTCCCTCTCCCCAGCCACTTGGGCCAGATCATCTGGGGCAGGGGTCTGCAACCTGCGGCTCTGGGACCACATATGGCTCTTTGGTCCCTCTGCATTGGCTCTTTGAAAATGTGACCAAACAATTTATTTATTTGGTTTTTATACTCAACACTAATACATTTTATGCAAATATGTGTGATACTACTAATACAAAAATACTAATACAAAAAGTAAAACATGTTAGCTCATGCTAGCCTGTTTTCTACCTAAATATTCAAACTTCTTTCTATAATTTTTCTCTCAAATCCATCAGGGTTATCTTTAAACACCTTTAGGACTACATAAKAAGAATCAGGAAAAAAAATGTCAGACGAGTTCAGCTGCACTATTTTTATGAAATTCTGTATGAACTATGGCCAGCATTTTTCTTGTGGATGAATATGTTATTTTTCAGACTTGAAGTGTAAAAATAATAAATAAAATTCACAATGTATTTTTTAGGTTTATGTCACCTCCACTGGCCATAAAGGTTCACGAAAAGGCCCACGGACCACCAGTTGACAATCACAGTTGTAGCTTATTTTGCGGCTATGGACACATTTTATTAGCAAGCCAAGGAGCAGAAATGGCTCTTTTGATTGTAAAGGTTGCAGACCCCTGGTCTGGGGGAATCCTAAGGCGTTCCCAGGCCAGTGAGAAACATAAAAATATAAAAGTATTTCTTTAAATTGTTGCTGCCTTTTTATACTTATTTGGATTTCAGTGCTATGAATGCACTTAAACACGTCTGATCTGAACAATGAAAATAAACAACCAGTAATTAGTTTTGTTAAGAAAACATTTATTTTAATATTGAGGTGAAATTTACTTTCAGAAATCAGTTTAAAACAACACTGCCAAAGCCTCATWTTGACTGCCTTTCAGTTATTCCTAGAACAAATGTTTGCGTAGAAACTTAGAAAGAAAAAAAAAGGACAGTGATGGATTCAGGAATAGAGGAGTGAGCAGAAGTCCTGGTTTTAGGCTCAGAACCGTCCTGAACGCTCTCTGTCTCTGGGACGACGCCTGTCGTGGTCGCGACCGCCTCCTCGACCTCGGTCTCTGTCTCGTGATCGGGAGCGAGACCTGTGGCGGCTGGAGGGGAGAAGAAGATTACTTTATGAAACAAGTCCACTGAAAATTATTTAAACTTTTGTCCTTTTATTTTATGAACATTAACGTTTAATTTTTAAATATATTTTTCCACATTAAACAAGTCAATCTTTGAGCTGCTGCACTGACATCAAGTWTCCGAGGGAAGTTGAAGCTACATTAAAAACACAAGAGGAGCACCACCTAGTGGACTAATACAATAGAAATCAAACGTATAAATGTATATAGAGGTAAAAAGCTAAGATGTTACTGAGAAAAATGCTTTATTTTACAACAAGAAAAATAATAGGATTAAAAGTTACATTTATAGTGGTTTTTAATGTATGTAATAATTGCCCCTTGGGGATAATAAAGGTTCTTGAACTTGAACTTAATGTGGCCAATATTTCCCCTAGGGAACACTAGAGTGTAGTAAAATTACTGAGTTTTATAGGAGCACTTAAGTCTGATTAAAACAAAAAGCTTTTGGAAATAAATGCATGGCTAATTTCCCTTCAAAAGACGAGTTAAAGTTTCTGAATGTCGGAGAGAATGAACATTCGTACCCCTTCCTGCGACGCCCGTACAGCTCTCTCCTCAGCTCACGTGAAATGGGTTTCAGATGCATGAAGTTACAGAAACCTCCACGAGTGCATTCTCTGAGGAGTTAAAAAGGTGCAGTTAGACGACAGAGAGCAGCAAAAACAAAGTCRAATTAAGAATAAAATAAAGAAATTGTTAAATTTGTACACCTGCTGAGGGAAAATATTATTCTTATGATTACAGAAATATATACATTCTTTATTTACTAAGCTTGTACAAGTACACTCCTTTAAATGACTACTTTGAATCTTTAAATGTCTCTTTTCTGCCTACAAACAAAGACAGCCTGTCTGTAAGSGCTCTGCCTCATGCAGCACTGACCCCATCTCATACTGGCGACAACAGGCCTCTCTGAAGTCTGTGACAGGAGAGAGCTCAGCGTGGATGGGCTGCCCATTGAACCAGCGATTATTCAAGTCTATCACAGCCTTCTCAGCATCTTCTTCGTTCCGAAACTACACAAGACAAAAACAGATCATACTTTTAAAACAAGCCTTCAGAGCTGAAGGAAGGGTCACAACTGTACGCTCACCTTCACATACACATTTCCAACCAGGTGGTCCCCGAGGTTGTCACAGACGTTCATTTCTTCCACTTCTCCGTACTTTTCTTCCATCTCTGTGAAGACTTCCTGAGAGGATGAGAAAGAAAGCAACAAGTGAGAATTTTATGTAAGAAGAAGACGACAAAAAAAAAAAAAAAGACAGAAAAAAAAACTGTAAATGAGCTACCTCAAAAAATTCATCATAGTGCTCCTGCATCTCCATGTCACTGACAGTACCTGGTGGTTATAAGAAAGAATAATGAATATAAAATTAAAAAGCTCAAATTTCCAATGATCAACACAAACATTATTTATTTGTTGCTTGGATGTAAGTAATTCTACTGCCTTATCTTATAGACTTCATGATCATATTAAAGGGATCCTTGATTAGTTGTAACATTAGACTTTATTTGATACACATTCATTTTAACTGTAAAAATACTGTAGGCTGTTTAGTTT